CAGGCCTGCTCTCCGTGGCGGTGGCCTCAGGAAGGCACCTGGTGTCCCGGCCCCATGCAGCGCGGCGGTTCTCAGCCCAGGAGGTTTTGCTGCCCACGGAGGCTGCAACACTGCCAGGGGCCGCTGGCTGTCACAGCCCAGAGGTCCCACTGTATGTGGTGTGCGGGTGCCGTTAGGCATGAATCACGCAGGATGTCTAAGTGCCCTACCAAGCTGGTCACCGCACACAGACTCGCCGGCCGCGTGGCTGCACAGCAGTGTTAGGATGGCCACAGAGCCGCTCTCCCGCTACTGCCGGCTAGGACGATGATTGTGCAAAGTGTGAACCGCCCGTGACATTCACCTGGCAGTACCCTATGTTGGGATTTCGAAAAGCATAAGCGGTTAAGACCCTCCTCAGAGCGGCGATGCCCATCTCGTTCTGGAAGGCCGGGTGTTCCGGGAGGGACCGGTGTAAATCCCGCTCAATCTCCTCGGTGGCCAGGTTGTACTTCCCCATGGACTTCTCCACCAGGTCCGCGTAGTACCCAGGGTGCGTGGCCTTCTCGTTGATGGCTCCTGGGAGATACCGAGAGACGCCGTGTCGGCGGGTCGGAGCCCACTGTCACGGGGACAGGAAGCACGTGCAGGGCTGGATGCGGCCCGGAGACCGCGGTGCACTGCTGGGGGGGATGTTAAGTCCTGCAATCACCATGGAAACAGGGTGAAGCTTCCTCAAAAAACTAAGAGAGGATGACTCCTGGTATTTCTCTGACGAGTATCAAAACATCAACTTGACGAGACCTATGCTCCCCCACATTCACGGTGGCATTACTGGCAGCAGCCGAGACTGGGGACCTCCCCGGGGCGCCCGCCAACAGATGAGCGGATAAGGAAGACAGGACATGCGCACAGGGATGCGACTCGGCCATTAAAGCAGAGATGAGACCGGCTGTGGCGGCAAGATGGCGGCCCCGGGGGTGACAACAGTGAAGTAAGTCTGATGAGGACGGCACATGTGATCTCACCCACTTGTGGGGAGATAAAGAAAACACATGAGCCACGTGCACAATACCCTCGTATTACAGGGACAAAATCATGGTCACCAGAAGAGAAGGGGGCGCAGGGGGGTGTCCATGGGTCAGCTGCATGAAGAGCGCTGACTCTCTGGCGAACGCAAGGAGTGTCTGCAGGTGTGGGTGGGACGGCTGCACGCCTGGCGTCCATGATGCTAAAAACCGACCAGACTTCCACGGTTCAGGAGAGCCCTGTCCTGGGCCTGCACCCCCAGCGTGCTGCCCAGGGCTCTGCGCCCCTCCCGCCCCAGGGACGGGGCGGGGTAACAGCCGAGCCCAGAGACAGCTGGGCGCCTGCGAGCTCGGCGTGGGGGTGGGGCAGGGCGCCCCACCGCCCTCTGCAGCTCCAGAGTGGGCAGCTATTTAAAGGCCTCCTAAGGAGAGGCCGCCAAGCCCCCACGGCCCATGCGGACAGACAGGCAGGTGACCAGGGCGGGCGAGAGGACCGGCCCAGCAGCCCTGGCCCGGAGGGCGCGTCAGGCCGGGTGGGGTGCGCGCTTGAGGAAGCGGGGGCCGGGCGCCCCGCCCTACCTGACAGCAGCAGCCAGAGCTCGCCCCGCATGCTCTCGGGGATGCCCTTCAGCACCAGCTCCCGCGTCTTCTCCGTGCGGTACATGCAGACACCCTGCCCGTACTCGGCGAAGTGGATCTTCCAGGCTTGCTCCTTCAGAAACTCTTTGGCCTGAAAGAGTGAACGAAGCACCCTGGAGACACGTGACAGCTCCGTCGCGAGCTATACGAACAGCAGCAGCGTCTGTGGTGTGCCCCGGACCCCGGGGTGTGTCTGAGGAGGCGTCCAGGGAACGCAGAGGGCGCCTCCCCGGCACGCGAATGGCGCAGACGGCGCCCTCGCTCCCCCCACCCCGACCCCACCCCACCCCGTGAGCGTGAACGTGAGCTGAGCGCCCCGGCTGCTTTCCGGAAAGAGCCCGGGGCACAGGGCAGACGCGGCCGTGCGGGGCGCAGGCACCCACCAGTTTGGGGTTGAACTCCTCGGGGGACCGCCGCCGGTACATGGTCATCAGCGTCTGCGTGGCCGTGGGCACGCTGTCGCTGTTCAGGTTGAAGGGGCGCTCCCCGTCGGCCTCGGAGCCCGCGCTCCTCTGGGGGCTGGCGGACACCAGGCTGCTGGGCCGAGAATACACCTGCCAGGCGAGGGACGCGGTGAGCATGCGCCCTCCGGGCCCCCAGGGCTGGGCGTGGCGCCAGGCGTGTCCTGCGGGGTCCCACATCCGGGGTCCCACGTCCTGCGTCCCAGCCGGCTCAGAACTGAGGGTCGGAATAAGTTTTCTGCCAGCACCCTGGGCTGTCTTCTGAGGAGCCACAGTGCATCAAGGCTGAATTCAGCTCCTGAAGGGACCGTCTCCTCCACCTCCTCTCTAGCTGTGGCACCTCAACAGTGCTGCGGGGGCTTGCAGCAGCTGGCAGGGCCATCCCGTGAGCCGACCATGCCTACAGCGTGTGTGAGCTGCCAGGAATTGCAGCTGGTCACGGATGTTCCGGCCCCAGGCTCCGGGGGTATCTGTGCCAGGGAGGCCTGGTTCTCCAGGGACGGAGATGCACGCACCACTGGAAGCACGTCAGGTACGAGACTTACTTAGGGCCCTTCGTGTCCCCCCCCCCCAGGGTTGCCTTTGACCCAGCATCACTGCGCACATCTTCAGGACACTTCTTTCACTTACTTTCTTCAACTGCATGCTCCAAATGCAAATTCCCTGAGCTGTAAACCAACTGTCGCTCAGAGCATCACAGTAGTGGCTCACTTTGGGCTGCAGAGGTCAAAGAGCAACTGTCCAGGGACAGGGGAAGCGCCCGGGCTCTGCACCGACCTCATCGTCCGAGCTGTTGTAGCTCCCCGCCAGCTCTCGGTCCGAGTATATCCTGGAGGTCGTCTGCTGCAGGAAATCCGAGATCCTCTGCACCAGGAAGTCTCTGTCTTTCAGGTTGGCGAAGAGGAAGGTCATCTTGTTCCTGGTGCTGATGGACAGGGGGCTGGGCAGCACGCTGGAGCTGTCGGCCTTCTCCACGATCGTCACCTGCAGGGAACAGGAGGCAGAGCCTGACTTCCCGGATGGCCCACGGCTGCCCTGAGCACCGTCTGCTTCCCAGGCACCACCCACCTCTTACTGAGGCGAGTGGCGCTTCTCCGATTCTGTCCCATAAGACAGAACAGTTTGTGGCAAATCAAACTGAGCTCTTACCGGACGTCGGCGTCGTCCTGGTCTTTCCCAATCGTTAGCTCTCACCTGGGAGATGCTTTATTTACTCCCTGGAGACGTTGGTGGGCATGGAGAGGTGCTTGGGCATCTTAGGTGGAGACCAGGGGCACGGCGCGAGACCCCACGCCAGTCCACCCAAGCCCGGCAGCACGCCCAGAGCCCAGACCGAGGGGCCCGGCCGGAAGGGGCCCTTGGACGTTCGTTAAAGGTTCATGGAGCCCAGAGCGAGGCCCATCACGGACAGCACCCTCGTGAGACGAAGGCACCGAGGCTGGTTCCTTTCACCAAGCTTCAGGATAGGAGGCTCCAAACGCCGCGGCTTTCACCTCCAACCACTCTGGAGTTTTAAAGGCCCATTCCTGACCGACAAGGTGCAGGCGGCTGAGTGGCGACCCTGCACCGGCTGCAGGTGTGTGTATGTGTGTGTGTGTGTGTCTGTCTGTCTGTCCGTGTACCGCATCCAGAGAAAGTAGGGGGTGACATCTACATTAGCTCTGAGCTGAAGGCACCTCTTTGGTGGTTTATAATAATAGCATTTGTACCTGGGGTGCTAGGATTAAATGCACTCAAACTTCTCTTTAGCCCCTTAGGAAGAAAGCCCCAAGGTGGCCCTAGATAATTGCTCATTAGCAGTAGACTCTACTATGTCAGAGTTGGGGTTCTCTCCCCCCTGCACGCTCCCCTCAAGCTGTCTGCATAGGGTCAGCTCTAACCCGTGTTCGGGGGCATTTGCTTGTGACATTCCTCCAAGGTGAATGCAGACCGTCGCCCCCAGACTCAGAAGCCTCTCGGGCCGGCCAGACTGTGC